CGTGAATCAGCCTCGAAAGGTGATTGAGCAGACTGGGTAGGCAGACCAATGCGCGCATGTCAAGCCAGACAAGCGTTTACGCGGAGCATGCGGCTGTCCTTAAGGTAGGTCAAGGCTTGCAATCATGTGACCTCATGCGTGGCGTGCATGGGAGGTCACTACATGTTATCAGACGCGATCGAACCCTAGACCTCCAGACTTTGCTCTGGCTGTTATGCTGACTGTGCTATAGCGTCTTCGTGTACAAACGACGCAATGAATGTATAAGTCAGGGAATTTCGTGACCTCTTATTCAAGTGCGTATGGTCATTGCCCATTAATACGACAAGGGGACGAGTGGGTTCCGTGACCGATCGATAAGCGCCTATCCACCATTGCATCTATTCCCCAATGGAAACCGGCAAGACAACGAGTCCGTGGCGCAGTGATTAGGGCGTTAGACTTCTAACTAACAAGGGCGCGGGTTGGAACCCCAGATGCCGCAACACCTGGGATTGGGTATGGTGGGCCGACGATGGCTAATTAGCCAGAAATGGCTATTCCAGCCTCCTTCTTTATCAGTTATATAGTTGTGACGTCCAGATAAATTTCTCAATTAAAGATAAACCTAGAGGGGTGAAAATTGACAGGTAAATGAAGCATGACCCGCTGGTCTGAAAGGCGGAGGCGCATGGTGAGGGGGAAGGGCAGAAAGCTATCCAAACAAGCTAGTTCAGATTACAGCGAAAGCATGTCAAGCATTATAAAAACCGCAACGCGTGGGCCAGCAGTCAGTCATGTGTAGGGGACACGAAAGGGAATAGGCGCACGTCCACAAATGATCCTTACCGGGTAGTGGGAGGTTGATCACGTGATCCAGAGTCCTGGTATTGCCCGTAATGCAGTGACCTCTGCAGAGCGCAGGATACACCCAGTCGTCACTTAAATGAGGCCGTAAATGGAGCCATTGGATCCACCAGGGACTTTGTAATTTAAATCTTGGGTACTTTATTTTCCGCCCTTAGCAGTTATCGAGTGTAGCGGCAGTTTCTGTGGCTAGACTGGAGTCGGGTAACTGTGGCTGACGACGGCTAATGAGCCAGAAATACGCGTATCTCGCAGTCCTATCGTTTGCCGGTAATACATTGATTTCCATATCTGTTCAGATGACTGAGTTGCCAACTGTCTTTGGGTGCCCCCAATGTGTTCGCAGTCGCAAATACTTGTAAATTCACAAATCCAGTTCGAGGTGGCTTGAATAGGCAGGATTGCTTTGGTTAGTCGGCAACAGTAGCTTGTGTAGGCCCACTCATTAATCTCTACTCCCTGCATGTTTTCTTAAGAAAACGGAGGTTATAGGGAAGGCGGGTTACCCGTTAGCCTAGCTGCTGGCTACCCGGCGCGTCCACAG